GCCAAATATATTTTGAGGTTGCATAGATAAAATATCGGGCGCATATGCAACTAAAATGGTCGCAATTTCGAGCCCTGATATATATAACGAGAACATACACACACACTTTTTTTCCAAGATTTGAGATATTTATATATCACACATACAAATCTAAATATATGCAACCAGTGGAGAAATGTAACTGTATTTTTTATATTTAATATAATTTTATGTGATCTTTTAATAAATATCATTATTTTTGTTCATATTTTAACCTAATTTCAAACACAAGAATGGAAACCATTCTCAAAAGGAGGGTGAAAACAATCAAATTCAGACTGAGTTTAATTCAAACAAAGTGAGCAACAACTCAAAACATATCAGTGTGTGTGTGTGTGTGTGTGTGTTGTTAGAGACTCCCGGGGCCTCCGCAAGAATGTGTAATCCCCTGGGCTCGATCCGTCCCATTGTCCCCCATCCTCAAAGGGAAAAGAGGAGCAGCAGCCCACAGAAAACAGCCCCAGCTTTTGTCCAAATATTACAATTAGCCTTTTTTTGATCTATTGTACCCTCTCTGTTGACTGTGCCTACTGACCAAACGCACTGGACACGGAAAGGAAGTGACCCTTCCAGGCAAATCAAAAAGCAAAAAAAAAAAAAATCCCTTTCTTGTTGTTTGTAAGTGAGCTCCTCCGAGGGGGTCCAGCTTTAAATTCAACTTTAAAGGAGGCTTAAGAAGTGAGGGCACAGAAAGAAGAGGACATAATGGAGGAGTCCACAAGAAAGAAAAAAGAAAAGGAGGAAGAGGGTCTGTCTGGTGATCATTTTTTCGTTCCTCTATATCTGCCCCCTGAGCAGATGCTGAAGCAGATGGCGGAAAATCAGACAAAGTTTATGAGGAGGAGGACAGAGATTGCAGGAGGGCAGATGAGAAGGTGAATCAGAGATGAACACAAGACAGGAAATGATGTCATCGTTGAGAAAATCACTCATTTTAGGTCTCCAGTGTTGATGTCATGTTTAAATTGTATATTTGATGTTGTTTAAAAATAAAAAAATAAAAGAAAATAGATTAAAAAAATTTTATTAAATAATAATAAATAAATTAAAAAAGGTCTCAAGTGTTGATTTCTGAATGTTAAAGATGTAAATTTTGAATTGTTTATTGGAAAAAAAGGTAATCCCTTTCAAATGTCCTTCATCATACTTATATGTTTTATTTATTTTTTTATATATATAAATTTAGTGAAAAGCTAAATTCATAAAAATTTTACAATTTCTGTTTTAAAATCAGGCATTTACAAATATAGCTAAAGATAAAAGTACACTGAAAAAAAGATTCATTGGATTTACTCGATTTCTTTAAGGTAAGTGGTTGCAAACAATCTATATGGGCTGAATTTAAAAACAACCCGTTAAGCTGAACATTACTACATTGAATATGCTTGTTTAAATTCAGCCTATATAACTTGTTTGCAACCGCTTACCTTAAAGAAATGTAAAAAGAGTAAATAGAATGATTTTTTTTTCAGTGCAGGCAATAAAGGAACGAGACCCGTCACTGGGGTGATATCTTTTCAAAAGAAACACATTTGCACCAAAAGGGTCAATATTAATACCTCAACGAAACATTCTAGTACCTAAAACGTACAACATTTTAGATACAAATATATATGCTTTTGAAGTACCAATATAGACTTAAGTATAAATGTCTTTAAAAAGGTTCCACCCTAGTGACAGCTCTCGTACCTTTATTTCTGAGAGTGCAGAAGTGCAGATGAGAAGATGAATCAGAGATGAACACAAGACTGCGAATGATGTCATGAGTGACAGGAAAAAAAGGGTTTACATGGGTTGTTTATAGATTTTACTATTGTCCTCTGAAAAAAGGCTTTTTTTACTCAATAAATGACTTTTGATGCTTGTTCTTACTAATTTAAAAAGAGCTTAATTTATTTTATGTTCAATCTACTTCAATTTGTAAAACAATATTAACTAAAATATTAATTAGTAACTAAAATTAAGGGGGGCTCAATGGGTAGCACTGTCACCTCACAGTAAGAAGGTTATTGGTTCGAGCCTCGGCTGCACAAGTTGGCATTTCTGTGTGGAGTTTGCATGTTCTCCTCGTGTTGGCGTGGGTTTTCTCAGGGTGCTCCGGTTTGCCCCACAGTCCAAACACATGTGCCATAGGTGAACTGAATAAACAAAATGTACCATATGTGTTTCAATGAGTGTATGGATGTTTCCCAGTGCTAGGTTGCAACTCTGTTAAACATTTGGAAAATATTAAAAAAAGAAGAAAACAATTTGAAGGGGGCTATTAATTCTTCAACTGTGTGTATGTATGTATAATATAAACATATAAACCTAATATTAAAAAATAATAGAGATACAAATCAAGTTAATTTATCCCTCTGTTAATTGCATGTTCATTTATCCTGCTTCAAAAACTATATTAATATGACAATGCAAGATTTATTTTATGGCAAGATCAGCACTTAATTAAAACATCTTTTAAAACAATGAAAAGTCTCATTTTTAATTAATGATAATTTATTAATAGTGAATTTTTTTATAATAATTAATTTGCTTAATATTAATAGAATTGGTTTGGATATGCCACAAAATTTCACACATTATTACTAAAAAAAAGTGCCATGAAATTGTGTTACAATTTGTGAAATTTTGAGGTTGGAAGATGCCACAAAATATTAATCAGCAATCAGAAATGTATAATAAAATAAAATTCTAAACAATGTTCGCTCTTAAATTGAAAGCAAATTTCACATATTATTACTAAGAAAGTTGTAAATTGTGGTACAATTTGTGAAATTCTGAGGTTGCAAGATGTACTTTGACAACCCTTATATTGTACAGGTCAGTTAATCTTTGAATTTCTATTGTTTTGGTTTCTTTAATAGTTTCAGGACAAAACTAAACATCTAAAATATGCATCAATGACAATAAGGACAAAATAGTTTGTATGTGGAATACAGTGTATAGTTTTCTTTGCCTTAGCCCATGTACAACAATACATCTCCCTGTTAAACTGAATCTGGATGCTTTGGGGGAGGGAGGGGTAAGGGTTAAAATGTAAAAAAAAAAAAAAAAAAGTATATGTTCATGCTAAACTTCAAGTGATTTTTCTACAATAAAAAAAAAAGCTTTCATAAAAGTTAAAAGCCTCTTCCACAAGTTAATGTTTTAATTAATATAAACAGACAATAAACAATACATTACAGTATTTTAACATGCATTAGTAAATGTTGATCTATGATAAACAGCATTGTTAATTATTAGTTCATGCTAGATACATTAACTAACATCACACGAAACCTTATTGCAAAGTCTGAGCCCTTCATTAAATTCAACTATTATTTTCAGCATGCACATAAATGTGGCGGTTAATAAATGAAATGACAGACAGAATCTGTAAAAGTGGCCTCAGTCAGTGCTGAACACACGCATTAAAAGATGTGCATTTGTGCTTCCTGAGAGATGGATGAGATTCAGCAGAGCCATCAAACCTTCTCAAAGCATCCTCAAAAACACAATCGCTGCTTTTACATTCCCCCATCATTTCTGCCCATGAGGGATACGGATGCCAAATGAAATATTCAAGCCATATTGTCTGATTTATTTGCTACATTATCATCCAGCGGTATCACCTCTGCAGTTTTAAAGGATGGCTCGTCTCCGTTCAGGACCTGCCCGCTGGGGGTCCGGCAGACGCATAAACAGGCTCCGCACTTCAATATGTTCTACTTGAAGGTTTTCGGCATGCAGAATTTGTAAGTAGAGACCGAGCGGACAAACCTTGGGGGAATAAGGTGCCGGGGCTGGGAAATGATAAATTTGCACTCCATCCGTTTTTGAAATGGGTGAACAAAATGTTATTAATTTTGAAGCTGATGGCAGGGCAGCGTATAACACTATCCGGCCTGTAAGTAATACTCCTGTCAGCAGAAGACTGACACTGGCTGTTTCTGCAAAGTGTGTGTTGGGATGAAGATACAGCGGTGAGACTATACGCTAAACTAAACGCAGAGACGGCTTATAATTGTCCCTAAATATATTGCCTGTATCTAAATAAATACATTTATTAGTTCCATATTTTCAATACAAATATTTTTAGTTCTGTTTAGCACTGAAAAAAAATAGATTAACTGGATTTACTCAATTTTTTTAAGGTAAGTGGTTCCAAACAATTTATATTGGCTGAATTTAAACAAACAAATTAAGTTGAACATAACTAAATTGAGAGGTCAACACCGTGGCTCAGTGGTTAGCATTGTCACCTCACAGCAAGAAGGTTGCTGGTTCGAGTCCCACATTTGTGACAGGGGTCACCAAACGTGTTCCTGGAGGGCCGGTGTTGTTCCTGGAGTTCCGGTGACACAGCTGGTCAATCAAGATTTCGGGAGTCTCCCGTATTTCAGAACCATCTCCCACCCTTCTCCCGTATTCTGTCTAGCAGAAAACTCTCGGAATCATGATTGACCACAGCTGGTCCAGCAACAGCTTCACATATTTGTGCCAATCAGATGAATACTAATTTACTATAAATAACCAGAGTATTTTTCACCGCAGTCATGTTCGTCTTGAAAAATCCCCCTTCCACCCCTACTCCTCCCACCGTCCAAAGTATACCCGTCAGCACTCCCATTTTTCCCGGGAGTCTCCTGTATTTCATACCCATCTCCCACCCTTCTCCCGTATTGTTTTGTCTCCTGGAAAACTTCCGGAATCCCCCCTGCCCTAGCCAGATAATTTTGATTACTCCATAGGCAGATTATTTAGCTTGCTTTAAGGAAAAACTCACTTTTGTTTTTCATCAAAATACGTCAGTCACATATTATTTCTTAAAACAAGACCATGTGTTTTGCTTGTCTAGAAAATGCTACTGATTTACAAATTGTTGGATATTTGAACTAGAAACAAAACATCGAAGTAAGAACATTTAAAAACTGTCCCCAAATCCAGCGCAGCACAGGTGTATGATCTCCTACACTCAAAAAAATGAACTTTCCCTATTGTTAGTTTTACTAAACCCATCCTTGTTCACATTACATAAAACATAATAGTAATTAAATTAACATAAGTTTACCATGTTATTTCTACAAAAATGTAGTACTGTAGGCTTTACTTAATAAGGGTTTGACAGGCCAACTTAACATTGTTGAGTAAAACGCAAAAACCTCTTAAGATTGGATATTTGCTGATACCGTAGCTACCTACCTGGAGGCGGAGCAACGGAACAGTCAGAGAGAGGAACATGTGAAGCACATGAGGAGGAGAAGATGGTGGCTTTGTCAGGTATGAGTATTTCATTAATCTTTAGTATTAAATATCACCAGGAAAAGTGATGTGAGTGTTCACAGAATTATGTTAATTTATTATATCAGTGTATTATGGAGTCTTTTGAATTTTAGCATTTTTAGCCTGTTATACTGACTCGTGTTTCTCAAGGAAAGCATGTGGCAGTGCAAAGACTGCAAAATAACCATCACAACTAGATCACAGTTGTTGAAACACTATAGATTAGTGCACAGACATTGTGGTCGCGGTATTCGTTTTTCATGCACTTATTCTGACTGTCGCTGTAGATTTAAAACGTGGAGTACACTACACAGCCATCTTAATTGTAGCCATGCAAAGGAGAACACGGGGTTACCTGCAAGTGTAACCACATTCAATTGCCATGTGTGTTCTTGCAGCCATATAGACTCAGAATGGGAGTATTTTAGTCATATCTATAAGAACCTGAAAACAATGAGACAGTACTTTGTATGAAAGCTATTCTTACTATAATCCTGTGTCTTAAATTTACAGATTGCTGCTGAATTCAGTCGAATCACTACTGTCCCACTAATTCAAACATTTTTCAAAACTGGATGGTTACACCAGCAAGCTGGACAGCATTTACCGTACAAAAGAAGAAATTGCAAAATGGAAAATTTGAAAACTCATGGCTACCATCGACAAGGTTTGTTATCTGTATTTATGATGCTTGTAAATAATTTCCACTTTAGTATGGTGTTTTTTTCATTGTATATACCTAATGTTTCTTCTACAGAATGATGCCATCTCAACTTGGAGAGCTTGCATTCTCAGAGCACTTTCTGTGTATCTTAATGAAGACTATTAAAACCTCATGAAGGAGTATACAGTAAGTATAGTTCTTAGTCAGTTAATATTTAAAATGCCATCACATAAATTCACATAATATAGTCAAGGAATATCAATACACAAAGTATATTTACCTTGGGGTTGTCAAAAGAACAGACTTCAGCACCAGTCTGCACTGAAATAAAAGATTGTTATGATGCTAGCATTTTTCTGGGGAAATTTTGAGCACAGTCGAGCAGATTCTCAAGCAGATTTGTCTAGGCAGATTAAGGTGGCAATTATCAGTGTTGCCAATCACAGTCACATCTGTTGAGCACAATAACACTGGCCAATTTAATTTCTTTGAAAGAATGATGGTTTCTTCACATTTTTTAAAATTCAGTACAGAAGCCTGTACTTTTGACCACCCTAACAAACACAGTAAAGTAGTTTTGTAAGTCACTGCAGGTGCGTGATGTGAAAGATTAAGGAATGGACAGTTGATACAAAATTCTTTAAATTTACAATCTGTATTTTTGATGTAATTAAACTGACTGAACAGTGATACTGTTTTTGTGTTTTGTAGGCGACAGACTTTGAGAGAGACATGGCCAATACTGTCATTTAAATCTACATCTTTAAGCCTGAAGGTGTAGAAGTCTGTGACCCACCATCAGTTGCTGGACTAATTTTTGAGGGAGTAAAAGTGCTTCAGAACCTCGGCGATGTCACCAAGGCTTGTTCTCTTTCTTTGAGAGTCAAATACAGCGTGAATCTCAGTTATCCTTCAGACCTGAAATACACTTTTGAGTTTTTCAGAAAGTGTTGCTGGGACTTGCACATAAACTGTCACACAAAATACAAGTTCTCAAAAACAAACTTGTTGGCTGAATCAGTACATCATTCTGGACGAATGAAAGAAATAGAGGAAGAAGCTTTTTTGAGACACTTTTAAAATTAAGGGCCAATTTTAAAGTTATCTTTGTCGATGGCACCAAAGTTTTAAATGGAGTTCTACAACTTTAAATGGTTATAATTGTTTGATTATTTACAAAGATTCAGATTTTCAGTTTTATTCTTTTCTTTGCTTTTTTTAAATTCTTATGCTGCTTGTCTTAAACTTTCCTTTTCTTTTTCAAAGTAAAATTTATTACTTGCAGTTGCACATATTGAAAGAACATTTTGGTCAATAGTAAAACTTCTTTTATAAATTTTTTTATGTTTATTTTTTTAAACAAGCTGTTGTTTTGTGGTGGTTTTCATAAATAAAGGTCAGTTGTATACTTTAACAATATATTAAACCTTATGAAATATCAGAAATTGAGCATTGTAGCATTTTGTGACACTGGAAAAAAATAAGTAAAATAGTAAATTTGCTCTTATACATTTTTCTTCCAATATTTGAAGTAGCACATTGTAAGAATGTTCACTATTGACCAAATGTTGCTTTTGCATTTTTTTCTTTCCTTTTGTACTTTTATTTGAACTGTTTGAGAATGTTTACAAAAATAGAGGCCAGTTTTAATGTTACTCTCACTATTGATTGTAAAGATCAGAAATGAATTTTAGCAGTATTTTAACATTCCATGTACAACATTTTTCAAAGTAAGATTATTTCAGATTCTTAAAGCCAGTTGCACTTTAAAAGACCCTGTAAATGTTAACTGAAAGCATCTGATGTTTTAGTGTGTTTGTTTCAAAGGATATTGAAATTGTTTTATGGGTTTTTAGCAGTTGTATGTTGCAAAACATTGCAAAGAAAATAAATTAATTTTGTTTCTAAAACTATGTTTGATTATTTAAGTTTTACACTTGTAGAGCACATACATTAGAAGTGAAATATATATATATATAAAAATAAAGTGTTCACCTTACATACTAAAAGTTCATAATTCTAACATAACATTACTAAGTAAAATATACATAAAAATAAAATGCAATATTGACACATCTAAATGGGTTGAATGTACTAAGAAATATTTTGTAAACTTTACCTGGATTTCTTTAGTTCATTTAACTATATTGTTACTTGTAGAAACTACTCAACACAGTTACGTGGAACCACTTGACACTCTTTTTTTATGTAAGTCCAACAAATCATTTTTTTGAGTGTAAGCACTTTGTGTATCAAACAATAAACATTTTTATCTTCCTGTTGTTTTCAAAATGCTGTGAGATAATCATGTCATATTTAATACGATGCTGCTTGTAAACTGATGCGTGCCAGTGTGTCCTTGCAGGCCAAATAAAACACTGTTTCATCGCCGGTGCTAAATAACGGCTGCAAATTTACTGCAAGCTCATCGTAAGCACAAGAGGAGCTTCGTAAAAAAACAGCTCGCTATAAGTTTCAGAGGGACACGTTTACCTATGCGACCTTCAGAAGAGTTCCATCTAAAGCCTTTCCACTTCTCAGCAGACAATATCAAGCAGAACATTAAAATAATTTCTGAAGCTTTTCTGTTTTTTGTGATTCATGCATTTTCAATTAGTTGCATTTTTATAAGTTTTTATGCTTTAGAAGTCAAAAACTTACATACAGCATCTCAAAAAAAAAATAGTAAACCTGTTGCTTTTAAAACGATTAGTTAACTTAGAGTACACCCATACCTTAAAATAAGCAAATTAACTCTGTGCCTAATTATAAAAAATAAGTTAAATCAACTTAACATTTACTCACTTTAAGTCATCTTGTTGCTTTTAAGACTTAGGTAAATAATCACTTTTTTGTGTACACAGTCTACAGTGCATACCTGTCAACATTGGGATCTAAAAATAAGGGATATGCCCACCATAATAAGGGATTCCCCCGACCCCCTTTAAAAAATGCCCAAATTATAAAATTATAAAATATGCTAATTTGGAACTGTTTCGTTGTAAATAAACAGTTAAATGGTCAGTAATATGTTTTATTATTGTTATTTACAAAAGAAAAAATAAATAGTACACATTAGCAGCAAATAAATTAGCAAACAGTTCAGCTTATTAAAATCAATAGCTATTATAATGAAATAGAATCAAATCTCATTAGCCGTTTCTTCACTGTATAACGTACACATTCTGATTAAAGAGCAATGAATGAACGATTTATTTAGATTTTTTATTTTTATTTATTTTTTGATTACATTAAATAACAGGTGTCACTTTAAAAATGCACACATCTAACATTATAATAAGCATTCGACTGCTTTCCTAACGGTTTATGTTCATTTAGAACGAAATTACTTGTGTTTGAAAAAAAAAAAAAACACCAAGATCGACATCTTTAGATATTAATATTATTAATTATGTGTATATGTGTTTAAACACGCACCCAAAACTCAGACTTTTGCTCCGCTTCAAATCACGAGTACAGAATCCGTTTGGGAAACAGCGTCTTCTTATCATTTTGGAGCGCGTCAACTGAAAGTAATGCAGCGCTGTGACTGTTTTGAGGATTGTATATGAAGGGGAGACGACACTTGTAATGAAAAGGAAGGAAATCGTGCTGTTTTGTTTACTTCAAAGTGTTTTCGTGCCTAAGCAAAGCAAAGCACAGAACAGACTCGCATTTAAGAGAAAGGGGCGGCCCCTTGTGGTTTGGTGGTATGGGTTGCATATAGGGAGGCTCGACTCTTAAATGTTTATTTGCCACCCTTCAGAGAAAGATTGAAAATACGGGAGAAATATGGGAAAATATCTTTACGGGATTATAGCGGGATAGAACTGTAAAATATGGGAGAATCCCGGGAAAAACGGGAGGGTTGACTGGTATGCTACAGTGCATTTGGAAAGAATTCATAGCGCTTCACTTTTTCCACATTTGTTTATGTTGCAGCCTTATTACAAAATATATTAAATTCATTGATTTCCTCAACATTCTACACACAATACCCCATAATGATAAGGTGAAAAAAAGAATTTTTGAAATTGCTGCAAATTTATTAAAAATAATAAGCTGAAAAATCAAATGTACAGAAGTATTCACAGCAATGAACAGAGACAGCCTGAATAAAAACCTGCTTCAGAGTGCTCTTGATCTCAGACTGGGGCGACGGTTCACATTCCAGCAGGACAATGACCCAAGGCTGACCGCCAAAATATCAATGGAGTGTCTTCACTACAACTCGATGAATGTCCTTGAGTTGCCCAGCCAGAGCCCAGACCTAAATCCTATTGAACATCTCTGGAGAGATCTGAAAATGGCTGAACACCGTCGCTTCCCATCCAACCTGATACAGCTTGAGAGGTGCTGCACAGAGGAAGGGGCAACAATTCCCAAAGACAGGTGTGCCAAGCTTGTGGCATCATATTCTAAAAGATTTGAGGCTGTAATCGCTGCCAAAGGTGCACCAACAAAGTATTGAGCAAAGGCTGTGAATACTGATGTACATGTGATTTATCAGCCTTTTATTTTTAATAAATTTGCAACAATTTCAAAAACTCTTATTTTCACATTGTCATTATGGGGGATTGTGTGTAGAATGTTGAGGAAATCATTGAATTTAATCCATTTTGGAATAAGGCTGCAACATAAAAACATGTGGAAAAAGTGAAGCGCTGTGCAGACTTTACGGATGCAGTCTGTAACTTCATGATCAACCGCATGCAAACTTTCATCAAGAAGCGACAAGAATGTGAATTTACAGCCGGCGCAAAGCAGAAGTGATGTGCACTCCTGAATATTTTTAATATGCCATTAAGCTCCAACTTCAATTTGGGTTTATGCATATTTTCCTTAGGGGTGTCAGGCATCAGCAGAGAAAGATAGAAATTTAAAAAAGATAAATAGCGCCATTAATCCAGAGCGTTTCACTTTCATTATCCTTGAAAACGAGAAGCTATTTTTTTTCCAATGAAATGCTCCTAATTAGCTCCTTGCACTTGATTCGCTGGCTAGAAAATGACCGTGTTCAGAAAATTTTAATTTGTAATTAAGTGGCAATGCACATCATGTAATTCATCTTTATATAGAGTTGAACTGACAAGCTACAGTCTGCATGTTGGTAAAGCTTTCAGAGGACAAACTCACTATAATGTCTTATTCATTCATTTTCTTTTCGGCTTAGTCCCTTTATTAATCTGGGGTCGCCACAGCGGAATGAACCGCCAACTTATCCAGCATATGTTTTACGCAGTGGATGCCCTTCCAACTGCAACCCATCAGTGGGAAACATCCATACACACATACACTATATGGACAATTTAGCCTACCCAATTCACCTACCACATGTGGACTTGTGGGGGAAACTGGAGCACCCAGAGGAAACCCATGCCAACACAGGGAGAACATGCAAACACCACAAAGAAACGCCAACTGACCCAGCTGAAGCTTGAACCAGCGACTTTCTTGCTGTGAGATGAACGTGCTACCCACAGCACCACCGTGCAAACCAATGTCTTTTGGTTGATATTTATTAAATGTGTCTGATATGCATTTATGAAAGAGAAAAATATAAGAGGAAGAAGTTTGCTGGTTCAAGTCCTGACTGAGTCAGTTGTGGAGTTTGCATGTTCTCCCGGTGTTGGAGTGGGTTTCCACTGGGTGCTCCAGTTTCCCTACAGTCTAAACACATGCGCTATAAGGCAATCGAATAACTACACAGACCGTAGTGTATGAGTATATATGTGAATGTGAGAGTGTATGAGTGTTTCCCAGTACTGGGTTGCAGCTGGAAGGGATCCGCTGCATAACACACTTATGCTGGAATAGCAACCACAATCTCCTGACTGAAAATAAAG